TATCTATCTATCTATCTATCTATCTATCTATCTATCTATCTATCTATCTATCTATCTATCTTCCTCGACTTGTGACCACAATTGAGCCCAAATTTTCTAACTGTTAAGTGAGACATTTGTTAAGTCAGTTTTGCCCCATGTTATGACTTTTCCTGCCACCTTTGTTCGAATCCTTGCAGTTCTTAAATTAGTCAGCTGGTTGCTAAGCGAATCCGGCTTCCCCATTTAGTATGGTCATCAGAAGTTTGCAAAAGAGGATCCTGTGAGCCCGGAGGTACCTCAAACCGTCATCAACACAAGTCAGTTGCCAAACGTCTGCATGTAAACCACGTGACCATGGGGATGGTGCCATGGTCGTAAGTCGGAAAAAACAGTCCTAAGTCACTTTTTTCAGGGCCATTGTAACTTTGAACGGTCGCTAAGCACACTGTCGTAAGTCGAGGACTACCTGTACAACTGTATATAAGTAAGAATCGTGGTCCCCAACATCGTAGGTGCATTTAGCATCAGCCAGATTAGCAAAGATGCTTAAAAACACATCCGCCAGATGTTGAAAATGTAACCAGACACCGGGTACATAACACATGTGATAGGCATGCATGAAGTAAATAAATATTAGACAAAAATGCATATATGGTTAGAAAAACATGTTAAAGCGGCACACAGATTATAAGCCAGAAATATTTTTGTTAGGTACCGGTATTATACGTGAAAAGTATGTCAAAGGGAATTTATATTTAATATGACATGTTTTGACAGTGGCAAGAATTGTATTTGAAAACACCTTCAGAAAAAGATGTAATTTTTTAAAAAAATTAGATTGTGCTGAAATAGACAAGTGGACACTAAAAATAAGAGAAAAAGAAGATACAGAATATTTTCAAACATGGGACTTCTTTTTACAAATGGTTGGATAATAGAAGTAGAAGTTAGGACTGGGAAATGTATTATTATGTAAACAAATGGATCCAGACAATGCCCTTGTTCACTAAGCACCTAATATACTCTGTTTCCCTGAAAATATGACCTACCCTGAAAGTAAAGTCCTAGCTTGATTTTTTACACAGGCACCCAATGTAAGCCCTACCCTCCAAAATAAGCCCTAATTAAGATCCCACCTACTCCAAAGTGCATGGGTAAAAATTAAGCTAGGGTGGGCATAGAGGGGCGGAGCTGCCCTACTACTTATCTTTGGATAGGTGTAGCCAGGCCTCGCATACCCTGACACCTGCCAGCAAGGCTGGCAAGGCTTTCCTGAAGGCCTCTGGAGCTGAGAACAAAGGTCTGGATCGATCCAAAGCTCTGTTACCGGCTGCAGAGGCCTTCAGGGAAGCCTTGCCAGCCACAGAAGCAGCAGCTCCTGAAAGCCTCTGACGGTGAAAAGGAGGCCGGGGACAACACAGGCAAGTGAAGTTCAGTGGATGACATCCCCCCCAAAATAAGACCTGATGCCTTTTTTGGTGGGGAACAAAATTATAAGACAGGGTCTCATTTTCGGGGGAACATGGGTATGTAAAATGAAAATATATAAATGAACGGTTAAAAAAGCAAACACCATAGATGCTCTTGGCCTTATTTCGATCCATGACAATGTTGCATTTCTGCACAGGTGAACTCTCTAGACGACAACGGTGTTCTGGTGGGAAACTGGACCGGGGATTACTCCCGTGGCACCAACCCTTCAGCCTGGGTGGGCAGCCAAGACATCCTTCTGAAGTACCACCGTACCGGTTACCCCGTCCTCTACGGGCAGTGCTGGGTGTTTGCAGGCGTCGTGACTTCAGGTAACTGGTGTTTACTGTTGACGCGGGGAGGTTTGCGGGTCACAAGGAAAGAAGCGAGAACATCAGATTTAACAGATTTTAACAGAGGGACCTTGTAGGTCATCTAGTCCAACCCCCACCCACCCCACCCAAGCAAGAGACTATAGATTGTGTGACGTTGTGGGTGTCTTCCTCCCTGGAGATTTTGAAGGAGAGATTGGACAATTGTTTCTCTGACACGATGTAGGATCTCCTGCTTGAGCAGGGGGCTCGACTAGAGGACCTCCAAGGTCCCTTCCAACTCTGTTATTCTGTTACAACTACTACTATTACTACTACTACTACCACCACTTTTTAAGAGGAGATTGGATAACCATTTGTCTGAAATGGTCTAGGGTCCCTCCTTAAACAGGGGGCTGCACTAGAAGAACCGATAGGAAACATTTTTGAAACCCACCTCTGCCCGGGACTCTACAGCTGTCACAAATATGAGTCAAAACTGCCAAGCATCTGAATTTTGATCAAGTAACCCAAGGGATGCAGTGACGGCCGTAAGGGGTGAAAAAAACGGTCCTAAGCTATTTTTTTTCAGGGCTGCTGTAACTTCGAGCGGTCACTAAACGAAAGGCCGTAAGTTGAGGACTACGTAATAATTGCCGATGGCAGGCAGAAAACAGGCAAGCTGAGTTGCTCTGGCCTGTTTTTTTTTGCCTGCCAGATGAAAACAAAATATGTTTTCATGACCCTGTGTGAAGGTGTGATTTCACTACATCACAACTCAGGAATTTAAAGGAGTCTGTGCGGTGACGACTTTAAGGGGGCGGGGCTTACAGGGCATACATTATGCTGGGCGGTGCTGATCATTTGTGCATCTGATTATAAATTCCTGAAAGTTATTCTCAGCTCAGGTATCGGCAACCCGTGGCTCTAGAGCCGCATGCGGCTCTTTGGGCCCTTTGCTGTGGCTCCCTGTTAGGTGGTCCCACCACTGGCAGGCCTCGCCTGGCCTGAGAAGGTAAAACACACACACACACACACACACACACACACACACACACAAATAAGAGGGAGGGAGTTGGGGAGAGAGAGAGAGAGAGAGGCCCATTTCCCACAGAAAACACTGGGAGCCACAAAACCTGGGTAGGTGTGGCTAGGATGTGTGTCATGTGACTGGGTGGGAGTGACGTTGAGTTGGCCACGCCCACCCAGGTTTTGAGGCTCCCGGTGTTTTCTGTGGGAAACGGGCCCAAATGGCTCTTTTGAGCGTTTTTAAGGTTGCAGATCCCTGCCTTAGTTCGTCAAATGATGCCAGAATAAATTAACTGCAGCTAATCCTCCACCTCCAAGCCCAACATTTCTATTCCTGAGGGGAACATTCGTGAAGTCAGCTTCCCCCCCCCCGCTTTACGACTTTTCTTGCCACGGTTGTTAAGTGAACCGCTGCCGTTGTTCAACTAGTCACACGGTTATTAAGTGAATCTGGCCTATTGAACTTGCTTGCCGGAAGGTCACCAAAGAAGATTCCCATGACCCCCGGCACACTGCGGCCATCATAAATATGAGTCATGTGACCGCTGGGATTCTCACAACGGCGGGTGGCAAGCGTGAAAAACAGCCCTACATCACTTTTGGGGGTGACGTCATCACTTTGGATGGTCACTAAATGAACTGTTGTAAGTCGAACACAGCCTGTTTGTGATGTTCACACGTTGTGCTGTGTCGCTGATTCCATTTGGGCGCACTGTGTGTTTTGCGACCTCAAACCTGGATACGGTAGTCCTTGACGTATCAAACCCTTGACCAAAATTGGCCCCCGAAATTTCTATCTATCTGAAGCAAAGCAGTTGTGAAACGTGTCCCTACCAATTTTACGACTTCCCTTCCCCCCCCCCCACACGGTTGTGAAGCCAATCACCGCGGTTATTAAGCGAATTGTGTGGTCTTTAAGTGAATCGGGCTTTGACTTTCCTTGTCGGAAGATTATTGGGATGGTCACGAAATGGGGACCCCATTGCAACCATTGTAAATACATGCCGGTTGCCAAGTGACTGAGTTTAAATCGTGTGAACTTCTGGACGTTGTAATGGTGAGGACCGGTTGTAAGTCACGTTCTTCCGTGCTGTCGTAACTTCGGGCGTTCGCTAAAGGAACGGTTGTAAGTTGAGGATTACCCCACATTACTGGCCAAAGACTTGGGGTTTGCCTGAGCCTGGCTGCTCGATCGCTTTCGAAAAATCCCGCCAACTTTTTTGGATGCTGTCCGAGTAGAACCACTAGGCCTCCCTGCTGATACCCTTCCCCTCTGTCCCTCTTCCTCCCTAGTCCTGCGGTGCCTGGGCATTGCCACCCGGACTGTCACCAATTACAACTCAGCCCATGACACGGACGTCAGCCTCACCATGGACATCTACTTTGATGAGAATATGAAGCCCCTGGAGCACCTCAACGCCGACTCTGTGTGGTGAGGACACGGGACCTCCTCCTCCTCTTCCTCTTCCTCTTTCTTCTCCTCCTCCTTCTTCTTTTCCTCCTCCTCCTCCTCCTCTTCTTCTTCCTCCTCTTCCTCCTCCTCTTCCTCTTTCTCCTCCTCCTCTTTCTCCTCCTTCTCCTCCTTCTTTTCCTCCTCCTCCTCTTCTTCTTCCTCCTCCTCTT